CCCCGCGACCAGAGAGGGTGAGTCACACCCGGCACCCCACCGAACCAAGCGCGGCCAGACGGAACTGAAGGGGTCGGAGGAAGCAGCCGAGGACGGGGTCGGAAAACCCTGGGGACCGGTGAATTGTGGCCATAGCCCCCCCGGTCGGGCGGTGCGTCCTGGACGCCCACCCTTAGGGTCCTGGGCTGGAACCTGGAGAGAGGGCGGGCCCAGGTCCCCCTCCGCCCCGGTCGGTAACCGGAGGACTAATTAGGACTGAGACAGCAAAACATGACGACTCCCCACCCCTAGAAAGGGGGCCAGAATGTTACAGAAATGTTTTAACAAAATACTTTAAAAAAGAAAGTTGTATAATTAAAATTTAGTTAGACATTCCTCTGTAGCATTCGTAACCCAAGCACTGCAAAATACAAAAACCAGAAAATGAAAACAGATTAGACAAATAAAGCAAAGTAGCACAAAGAAAGAGTTTTTAAATAATCAGCACTGTCGCAAGTGTTACCAGTAAGCACCTTACAATATATTGGACTAAATCCTCCTCTTAGTCACATTAATGTGATCCCAATTAATGCAACTGGTTTATATCCGTATAACTGGGAACAGAATAAGATCCATTATTTTAATCCTGACAGTATCTCATTAATTCATATATATATCATCCAGAATAATCAGCTTGTAAACAATTCACCATGAGGAAGAGATTTTAAAGAAAAAATGCTGTTTTAAAGCCCTTTCGACATTGCTCTCTCTGCTCGCCTACATACACCTCTCTCATTATACATAGTCATACATCCATAAGCTTTGCATAGTGATTCAGCATTTAGGAGTCATTCAAAGGCCCAATCCCACAGACAACGCTATGGGGAGTTCCCATTCCTATTAATCACAACAGCAGCTGCACAGAAAGGGTTTATGGGATTAGGCCCTTCATTTCTAGGCATTTAAGTGCCAATTACTATAAAAGAGGTAATAAAACAATGCTCACAAAACAAGATTTGTAGTCATACATCTTACTGAAATGCATAAAAATATCAACCATTTTCCCAACTAGCACATTTTTAAAAGGCTGCCATGTTTTCCCCCTTTCTATTTACACCTAAATTATCAGTCCTCAAAGTAGACCTCCTGTTGACTTGGCTTTGAAAATCATTGATTTGTTTAGCACTTAAAATGTGATCATCTCAGTACAATAATACATAAAAGATAATTCCTAACCAGAAAGCGTTCCAAAAGAAAACAGAACTACAACACACAAAATGCAGTAGGAAATCCAAAAGATGCATATAACTTGTTTATTTATCATTATATTTGTAAAAAGAATAAAACACTCATTTAATGTGGTAAGTGTAGTATTTTGACAAACTGTGACTGAAAGATTACACATTTTTGTGCTGTTTGTCTTCTCTGATACAAATACACAGTAGGAGGAAACAAACAAATATTGACAGAGGGACTGTTGAAGTAAATGAAGAGGACAGCTATGGGACCAGGTCCAAAATATAAGATCGGTTGGAACTGTCAGTACCTTGGAAGTACAGATAAGCAATTTAAACAATGCAATGCATAAGACAGAATCCAGTGAAAACATTGTCAATCCTTTTTGCTGTGTGAAAGGGATCAAAGCAGTGGAAGTTCAACTTCAAAAGGGCAAAAATCCATCAGAGGGAAGAGTGCCAACAAGACGTGCTCTGCTTGACCTTCAAGCTTACTGAAACGCCTCAATAAGAATATGGCATCATGGGGATTGTCAGGTTAAGGGGACATAGCCAAGTAGAAATGAAAACCACTCTACACAGTACTCAGCCCTGAACATAGCAACTGAAATTAATGCTAACAAGATCAGCATTAACTCCTGTAGTTCTGCTCCATCTACAGTTTCTACACAAATCTGAGATAGATACTAGGGCACAGGAAGGCAAGGAATGGCATCAAAACAGTTTTTAAAAATGCATGGAGAAATAACACAAGGAGAGACTAGCTGAGCAGCTGACTATGTGGGTCCCTCAAGATCTGCAAAATTTCCCCACAAATCACAGATCTACATTATTCCAAGACCTACATTCCCAAACCTTTCTGTAGGCCTGCACACACACTCTTCCTCACACTCCACCATCTCTGAATTTCCTCAACTTTTCCCTTTCTGCAGGAAGTCATAAGAGAGAAAAGAGCAAGACCATCCTCATCAGTAAGTTTGGAAAACACTAAGGAGAATTTCTAACGAGTATCTACATAAATGAATTATATTTCCATAGCAAATCTAGAAAAGCAGTACATCAAGTCAAAGAGCTTTACTAATGTTGTTTATATAATAACTAGGGGGCCGTGTCCCCTGCTCGCTATGTTCACCAACTCCCCTCTCACTGGCCACTTTTGTGAGAATTCCCCATTCTCCACACCTGGTTACTACCCGTCTTTGCAGGGCAGCAGTGCTCCAGATGTGCCCTTCCAGCTGGCAAGTGAGCTCCGGCCGCGGGTCTGGGACATGCTCCATGTGGACAGGGCGCAATGGAGAAACATGGAACCATGGGGGAGCCCCCAGCTTTACATGCCCATGCCCTACTGAGAACCAGCTTTGGGTCACGCAGGAAGAAATCCCGGTGGGGAAATCTGAGCCACTAGTCCTTGTCCTGGAGCTCCATGGCCCACAGCCCATGCCCCCTTCTTCCATTCCTATCCCTACCGCCTTCCTCCATTCCTACATCCCCATCCTTCCCTAACCCCTCCCCCTCTACACCCCCACACTGCCCATTCCCCACCTCCATTCCTATATCCACCTCACCGCACTGCCCATCCTCACATACACCCTCTCCCCTTCCTCCACACACCCTGTCCCTCCCACGAATTCGTCAAGCTGCACGCCGTGTGAATGGCCTTCAGGGCAGCTTTGCTCTATGGTGAGCCCAGAGCGCAGAGAGGCTGCTCCAGAAAGTCAGAGAAGTGGCTGGGGTGCAGCGTAACTGCGCTGTCCCCAAAGAGCTGGATGTGCTGTGTGGCCAAACCTGCTGGAGAGCCTGCCTGAGCCAACGTCCTGGTCCCAGGATGTTCCAGCGGGTGTACCCATTCCAGGGGCAGATGACCATTTTGTGGGGCCCCGGGCAGCATAATTCCGTGGGCCCCCCCCCCCTTTGCCACGGCACATGCGCGGGGCTTTTTGAAGCGCAGGGCGGCCGCCCCGTTCGCCCTGCCCTATATCCGCCCCTGACCCATTCCCTCGAAGGCTGGGATGCAGCACTGCGAGCAGGGCAGATGACGGGAGTTGACGGGGGGAAAGGGGCAGTGCTTTGTGGACAGAGGGATGGACACGGCACCCAAGGAGGGCGAGGCCTTCCCAAGGGATCCCAAGTGGGGAGCGAACTCTCAAAGGACAGCATCTCCACAGCATTCGCCAGAGGCTGGGTGTCTTGAAAGCAGGGGAAGTTATCGGTGCAGGGGCCCTGCCCAGTCTCTGGGTGTAACCAGGTGGGAAGCCCCTCGCTCTCTGCAGACCCCCAACCTCAGCCCTTCACTGCAGGGTGGGTCCCACACAGGCCATGTCCTTGCTCCCAATCTCCTGCAGGATCTGCTCATTCTTGGGAGGTTCTCCGCCATCTTGGGTGGGAGGGAACCAGGCAGCAGCGTCCCCATGGAACACGCTGGAGAGGTGGGGCTGCAGTCACTGCCAGGGACTGGGGCCCCACGCTCCTCGTCCTCACCCCAAAAGTTGCAGCATGGAGTCTCATCAGGGAATCCAGGAGGTGCTGCTAGTGCCAAGCCCACCCGCTCTGCAGCAGGCTGCTGGGAGAGGTGCATGCCCTGAGCACTGGGGAGAGGGAAGGCCATGTGACTCCTGTTCTGCCTCCCAGAGCCCCAGTGAGGGGGGAGGCTGCACGGCTCCCACAGCACCCGAGAGGGAGAAGGCCTCATGCCCCAGAATCCACACAGCTCCACCTCCCCTGAGCACAGGGGAGAGGGGAGGCCATATGGCTTGTGGCTCCCCAGAGCACAGGGGTTGCCATGTAGCTCCTGGCTTACGGCTCCCCGGAGCATGGGGGAAAAGAGGAGGCAGCAAAATAGGCTAAATAAACAGGATTCCAACAATGGATGATAGTGCCATAGAACAGCTGTTCTCAAACTTTAGCAATCCAAGGACCCCCCTATTGTTTTAAAAATATCCAGGGACATCCTGCCCAGCCCCTTCTTCAAGGCCCTTCCACCACTCGCTCCATCCTCCCTCCCTGTGTCACTTGCTCTCTCCCTTCCAAACTCATTTCACTAGGCAATGACTTATTTGGCTAGAATGATTTAGCTTTTAGCAGGGGTTTGGACTCTATTACCTCCTTAGGTCTCTTCCAACGCTATGATTCTATGGCTTTTAAGAGATAATTTTCAGTTATATTTACTTCTAGGCCTGCTGACTACACAAAACTATATTACTAAATCACACCTCAAACCAGACATTTCTACTGACCATCTCAAGTTGATAAATCTGTAATATTTATCTTGTGTGGGTAAAGTATTTTTTGTTTTTAATTATAAAAATGTTGTTTCTGGCTAAAGATTTTGAAAACTGGCAGCTTTTATAATTATCGTTACTGTACATGCATTAGTAGGACATCCGAATTTTGTTTATTTGGCAACACTTTAAGCTAAATGATTTCAAATAAGGCAAGGGCCACAAATACTTGAGTAGTTTAGCACAGCTTTATAAGAGTATTTTGCTGCTTAATGTATCTCAATTCAGATGTAGTCAAACTAACATGATTTATATTGATAACATTGAGCAAAAAAAATGCTGAATTCTTATCCAATTCCACCATTTCCCTGAAATACCTGGATAAGTTATTTGGATCCAGAATTTCAGTTTAGGCCCATATTTAAATCTCCACAATTTTTTTAACTTCTAAAAGTGGTGCAGTGACCTCTGAAGTCTTGGTGTCCTGTTTAAATAAATAATTTAAACTATTACATTTCCATACCAGAGGATAAGCTACTGTACAATACTAAGTCTGGTTTGTCCCTACCTTATTGTGTTTCTGCTGGTGCCTTGCCCTAGTGTCCAGGATATGGTAAGGGCTTTCAAAGTCTCTGTTGATATAATAGACCAGTCTTGAAGGCAGTGTGATTTCTTTCTGGATTTCATTGCTTGGGTTGTTATTCTTACTGCTACTTCTGTTATTCTGTAGGAGTATATTCTCTTCATCTGCCAGTGCTCCTGCTATTCCTCCTGCAGTTTCATTCCAATACAGAGCTGAGGAAGAAAGATATGACAGCCATAAACTAACGTGCAGAATGTGTCTCTTTCCACAAAATTAAGCTACAGATTTTTTTTGCTGTATTCCAGTATATTATTTGCTTAAACAGAAATGATTAATGAAATAGGTCTGATTTATTTTTACACTTTAAATGGTTTTCTGCTATCCTGTATTATTTAAATTCATGTACATTTTCACATGCAATCTCAGATGTTGAATGTTTTAAAGCCTTTCATCTTTATGAGATGAGGGATCTCTTAACAGACATGCAGTTCTCCCCTCTCTGCTAGTTACACGTTTGCACACTGTGCTGTACATCTATAAAACTGCTGGGAATGCTCCCCACGTTCTCAAGACAACTTGAGTACGGAGTCCATGTGCACAGAATGTTAATCGATTCCCTTTACATAATGGCCAATCTTCCCTACTCCTGTAACTTTGAGGATGCCAAGAACACTTCTAGTGAGCAGCATTCCAGGGTTTTCCTGCTCAAACCCACATTTCCTTTTTGTTCATTTTTAAGGTGTGTGGTATCATTCAATCTGGCAAGCAACACAATAGTAGTACTAATATCACCATTTTAAAGACAAGTGTCTCCGGCATTCTGCATTTCATTTAAATGCAGCTAAAACGAAATCAAATCTTGAAAAAACATACGTTATTTGCAGATGTTCTTCTTACAAACACCCTCCCAAACATCTGCCAGTGCTTCATCAATGCATTTTATACATGTTCTCCTCCCGGCCCGTGCAAAAAGAAAGGGACACCGGATTTAAATAGGATGTGGGTGTTTTCATCCATCACTGCTTGGTATTTTTAAAATGCACCGATCTGGACACACACTACAGCAAAAGGGAAACGCTGAGCGCTGAGACGGCTCTCTGCATTGGACAGCAATGGTCAGAGTAGACTGGCGAAGAAAATGGTTGGGGGGGTGACATGGACGGGCGGACACACACATGCACACACACACATGCACACACCTGACACACCTGACACACACGCACACACACCCCTTTATTGAGGAAAACTGTGCTGTCAACGTTTTTAAAAATTATTTTTCCCATAGCCTTGAGTCTGCTGGATATGAGTATGGTACACTATTTGAAAAACAGCAACAAAGCAGCATTAGGTCTCATTCAACAGCTACCAGGAATTGTTTATATTTTCTCCTTCAACCTCCTACCATCATGTTTTCAAAACAACAGAGCACTGGTAACACAATGACTATGAGAGAGGACAAAGATAGGTGAATCTGCTCAATACAAATGGCCTTTCTCCAAGACCCTGTGGAAGGACAAGTTTGCATAAACAATCCCAGAAGGCAAAAAAAAAAAAGTATTAACTGCAGCTCAACAGCGATCAGGTACAAGCTCTGACCTTTATTCAGTTAATTGTGAGCAGTCCCACAGACAGATGCCCAGCCAAAGGAATATAAAGCAAGCCAACCAGTGTAAGCAATAGCATGAGTATTTGAGGCCATGGATTGATAAGACTGAAGTAGAGTTGTATGCATTTCACTTGTCCCTTTCTACATCTTTGAAACCTAGGGCTGACAACAACCACCCCCTCACTACGTGCAAGGTTTATAATAAGAAGGCTATCATATCTAAAGGAAAACAGGAGACGTAGAAGCTAGGAGAAAAATGGTTTCCCTGATACTCTTCTCCTCCCAAACACACAGATGATGCAAGTAACTATGGGCCAGAAAGAAGAAAGTGGGTATTTTATATAGACTACATACATGATAATAAAACTACGCAAACATTTCTGATGCACTGACAGGATCAAAGCTGTTTATGACACCAGACCTCCTAGAGTTAGAAATTTATCACTAATTCTGCAGGGATTGTTCCGTACATCTCCAATTATAAACCCATGACTGTAACTCAGAAATCATTCCCAGACGGCTAGGCAATAGGATCATTGCACCTCACGTTATTTTAATTGGAAGTAATATCTTTGAATATAATTTTCTAGAAAGCACAACTTGCCCCCTATAAGAAAGGATTAAGTTACAATGCCATGAGAGGGGGAAATGTCAATGTCCTTCAGGCTTAAAATCTTCAGTAATTAAAACCAAAACCAGAATTCTAGTCTACTATAGATTTATCAAATATTTAATAAAAAAAACCCTTAAGCAAGCCACTATCATCACAGAGCAAGAGAAATTTGTCTTCCAAGCATGTGACTTAATCTGTACCCAGGATGCATTTCTTTACTCTGTGATTTTTGTTCAAAGAGAACTGACTGGTGAGTGCACATTTTAGCTAAATTACTGTCCTTTTCCAACACTGCTTTCAAGGCTAGGCAGGAGAAGGGCTAACCTCTTCACCCTCTGCATGTTCAATGCCTCTTATCACTGACTGATTTAAGGAGATAACTTTCTAATCCCTCTGGTGCCCAAGAGCAGTCCATGGTCAGCACAACTCCTTTGTGTGGCATGTTTTCACCCTACCCTTTTAAACACTCCCAGCACTGAAATCATAGCTTAGAAAGGTCTGTCCTTGGCAGAGCCAGACAAACACGATCTATGTCCGAGGGCAAAGTGAATATGTTCCTTGTATTTGGACTAACAATCCAAACACTTACAAGGGTAAAGTTGGAAACTGGCTGCAATTTAATCCCTTCCCAGGAATTTAATCCGGTTTCCAGATAGTTATAAATTTCAGCTACCACTACTACAGCCATGCCCAAGTCAATGGAAGGAAGCGATTCCCAGCTATTTGAGAACCGATTTTATTATTGAGTTTGCCATATAGAAGCAATTAACCTCCCTTCGTCTGGAGAAATCCCTCATCCGGGGCCAGCTAGGCCCCGAGGGTGCCGGGCCGAGGCAGTCCAGCCTGTGGTCCCGCGGGAGAAGTGGCCTGAGATCCACAGACATCAGATGGCGCCTGCTGTCCCTTGGAGCAAGCAGTTGGCCAGCGCTTGTGGCCTTGCTTCTTTGAAGAGAAGACGTTGATAAGACCAGGCAGCTGTACTTTTTGGAACAATCCCGCTTGTTTACAAAGAATACACGCACCGTCCTGTGTCCCTCAATACAGAAAGAGCCACCACCAGCAAGAAGTTGTGTTCACTGTTCCCAAGTCTTCGTGCAAGTTCCATGCCCCCAAAGAGCGCTATGACTGTCACACTTCGACTGTGACTCTCAAGGCCACACTTAACTGCCTCTTTGATTCTCTGCTGGTTGTTGGGCTTTCTGTCTCTTCTACACAGACAAGATGGGTGAGGTCATGCTTTTTATTAGACCAACTTCTGTTGGTGAGAGAAACCAGCTTTTGAGCTTACACGGAGCTCTTCTTCAGGTCTGGGATATCTCCTCAGAATGTCTCAGCTAAATACAAAATATCTCACACATACAAATGTTGCCAAAAAAAATCCACTAACCCCTGCATATATAATGACAGAATCCCTCAAACCACACAGCTTAGCTTCTGATTGGTGGCTTCTATTGTTTCCAGCCACAACTATGCAAAGGGAATTTAATTACTGTCTCCTTTTAATCTGAAAAAGGGTGTTTAGCACCACTGTCAGTTTTAACCACATCTGGTGTCCTCTATAAGACAAATACCTGCTTGATGGAGTAGTCAGAAGTCACCGGTGTGGTTTGTCCTGACAGGTATCTTGCTTTATTCAATGATGATGACCATTTTGCTGCATGCATCTCCCCCTGTATGTTCTGCACAGGTAGCTTGCACAGCAGATTCGGACAGAGTCCCCAAAGACCAGGTTTATTGTAAATGAGCACAATAATAGCTCCCTGGATCAGATGTTTACAGTTATGCTATGAATGTGTGCCCATGACAATGGACTCAGCTCAGCCAATGACAGATTTTGTGTTGCTCCCTAGGCTGGAGAACAACAGCCCCTCTAACACACGTATTATACACAGGTACACACATTACACATCATTATGGATGTATCATGTTGCCACTCTCTGACGTACCCAGATATCACCCTGACCTCATGCATAGTTGTTCAATCAGGACATCATTATTCATCATGCTGTCATGCTAGAACAGGGGTGGGCAATAATTTTTAATGGGGGGGACACTCCAACATTTTAGAATGTGGTGAAGGGCCACACTCTTCCACGATATTAAAGAAGGAGGTGCGGGGTCTGGGATGGAGGTTGGGTACAGAAGGGAGCTTGTGATAAGGGATTGGAGTGCAGAAGCAGGTGTGGGGTCTAGGAGGGAGTTTGGGTGAAGGTGGCAGTTGTGACCTTGGGCAGGGGACTAGGGTGTACGATGGGGTGCATGCGTTTTACTGCGACCTAGGGCAGCAGGGGGTTGTGATCTGTGACACGGGATTGGGTTGCAGGTTCTGGGTATCAGTGTAGGAGGGGGTCAGAGACTTGGTTTATATAGGTAAGGGTTACACCGGGGGGCAGAGGCTTGGGGGGAGGGAGAGACTGGGATGCCAAGGACTGGCTCTGGCCAGGAGACTTAACAGAGCAACTACCAGCCAGCAGCCCAGCAGGTTTCCCAGGCAGGCTCCCTGCCTTCTCTGCCATCACACAGGCTACAGGGGCCATGTGCATTGATGAATAGCTGTGAGCCTGAGAGGCGAAATGCAGGGCTGTTTGCTGCGCTGCCCTTTCTTCAAATAGGCAGTTCCCGTTGGCCAAAAACTGGCCAGGGAGTTTGTACTGGTGGTGAAGGCAGTGCAAGAAGCCTCTCTCCCCTTCCCAGGCTTGCAGCTGTTCAAAGACAAACAGGGCCCTGCAGCCGCTTTTCTGAGCAGCGTGCAATGGGTGGGGACAGGCAGGGAGTCTACATAAGGCTCCTTGCGGCATCCACAGTCTAGATGGATGGCTTGGCAAGCCAAATCCAACCTGTGGGCCATATTTTGCCCTACCCTGTGCTAAGCTGGGTTAGTATGTTCTTGTGATCTATGGGGAATGTGTAGGTACCAAAATGTCTCGTAACAAGGTGCTCTGTTACCATCCCTCTGGAATGTGTTTACAACCCATGCCTAGTACCACTTAGCA